TATGATGCAGGTACAGGCTGTATTATGAAAAATGGCCCAAGCCATAGCTCCGTTATTTTTAAAGTTATGACAATACTTCTTAGAATAAAGCTGAACATTTTTTGTCATCTATCGTTTAGGATAGATGCTAAATTAATGCTGTTTTCCGTTTCACCGGAAATGACATCAACTTTATTTTTTTTAATGGAACACCCTGCATATTTTACCACTTTTGGATCCTTTGTTTAATTGTCTTTTAACAAGTTTTAGTACCATGTGCCTAAAACCAACCGTTCGTGAGATATGAGTCAATTAAAAATGTACTAAACTAGGCAGTGGAAAACAATAATATTAAGTAATGTTGACAAATATTATTACTTTGCATTTTCTCTTATTATTTTTATACTTTTTGGTGTTCTGGTGATAATGTGTTAACAGACATGATTCAAGAATATTTTGAAAGCAATAGAAATAGTTGGAGACCACAACGCCTTTACACTGGGCGGTTTCCAATAAGAGAAGTTCCAATTCGTCGACCTGAAGAAAATTTGAGCATGTTTGGGGTTTTTAGAAAACCCAAATTAGAACAGTTGCGTGCAATAAGCCAACGTTACTTGCAATTTCTTAAATTCATGTTCTTGAATTTTCTTCAATACCTATCTAATTCTGTATCTCTTTGAAATTGGAGATGTTTTAATTTGGGTTTTCTAAAAGCCTAAAACATCCTCAAATTTTCTTTAAGTCGCTTAAATTTTCGACGATTTGGAACGTCTCTCATCAAAAATCACCCAGTGTAAAAGCGTAGTGCTCTCCCACAATTTTTATTATATTCAAAATATGTCTGTTACATATTATCATCCATGATTAACATTAAAAAGTATATAAACAGTAAGAGAAAATGCAAAGGAATAATATTTGTCAACATTACTTGATATTATTGTTTTCCACTGCCTACTTTAATAAATACATTATTTGGTGAATATCTCACGAACGGTTAGTTTTAGGCACTAAACCTTGTTAAAAGACAATTAAACAAAGAATCCAAAAGTGGTAAAATATACAGGGTGTTCCATTTAAAAAAATAAAGTTGATGTGATTTCCGGTGAAACAGAAAACAGCATTAATTTAGCATCTATCCCAAACGATAGATGACAAAAAATGTTCAACTTTGTTCTAAGAAGTATTGTCATAACTTTAAAAATAATGGAGTTATGGCTTGGGGCGTTTTTCATAATACAAGCCTGTATAATAAAAATTAAATTACAAAATTAAATACTTCGCAACAATCCAAGACACAACAGTTTACTCTTGAAATTTCATTCCGATGCAAAACAAACATTCGGTAGCGCATCGTCCAGACAGACATTTCGGCAATGTGCAAATTAAACAAGTCCCAGACTAATATCATTAAAAAACGCCGAATAACAGTTTTATTAGTGTAAAAAAATGCACACAACTCCATGTGCATCTTTGCCTTGCGACTGGTCAAGGAGTGGAACAAGTCAGCCTTGACTGAACCACTAAAGTTTTTTTTTTACATACAAGTCCGCCGGTTCAAGTGCAAGGCCACAACTACTTGCACCTTGCTCCTAAATGCACCATCTGTCTTTTCGACTAGAATTATTAATTTTTTTCCTAACACGTAAAAAAGCAAATTATGGTGTAATAACCGGAGATTTTTTGGCTTGGTTTGTCAAACGGCCTTGAATTTCGTCTAGACAGCGTGGCCATAAAGAGGTGACCACAGTATTTTGATTTGATTGATTGCCCCACCTGAGCCTTTTTCAATCACAGGGATAAAGCGGTGTCGGATTTGGCGAATCGAATCAAGTTTTTTCGCTCGACATTATAATTTAGATCTAAATCAAACAAATTTCAAAATGAATAAAAAATGAGACGGCTACCAACTACTCTAATAAAATTTCTTCAACTGTAGAATCAAATCTTTTAATAAAGTATATTGCAGTAAACATAGTTGCTATTTTTAGTTTTTTGATTAATTTATACATTGTTCATTTTAATAAAACTGGTTATGGTTTTATCTAGCTGGTAACAAAAATTAATTCTTAATTTGGCAAAACTGACTATAAGTTGGCAATATTGATTAATGTAAAGACTAAATGATGTGATCATTGTTATACAGTCAAGTTATCAGAATTCTAAAATCTTAATTTGGTAACATTGTCTATTGAAACGTTACAATTTTATAGTCAATTGTCATGCATTTCTGAGGGGTGGCTGCTGGCATAGCCGTCACCTGAAAGAAAACCTAATATCTAAATTATTTAGTCATGCTTTTGCGGTGTATCCTATCTATTCTCTGAGTTTTCATTGTTCAATGTTGCCAACTTAATTTCATAATACCAAGTCCCAAGTTTGATGAATTGATTAAAAAAAATTTGCTAATGCAAACGATAGAGGATTATATAGACTCCGATTTAGTACTCGTACTTTGATATTTTTTAAAATTTTTAGCACATGTCTGTGAGACTAAAAACAAAAACCAAAGGAAAAAAATTAATTAATTGGAATCTTTTCTACATGATAAGAATCCCATGCCTGATTTTTTCTAATAGTAACTGTGAAAATTGAATAATGTAAAAGTTGATAGATTTTGAGTAATTAATATTTTAAAAATTGCGAATTCTGGTAATTTATGGCCATGTTTGGGATGATTCCCCCATAAATTATTCAAGTTTCAGATTTTCAGTACTAAAATGTTAATCATTCAAAATCTATCATTATTCTATTTTCACAAATACCACAGAAAATAATCAAAGAATTTTTATTATGTAGAAAATATTCCAGTTAATTGATTTTTGTTTTCTCTAAATTTAATTTTTAAGGTCTCACTGCCATAGGTACGCTAATAGTATGTATACAGTATGTCCCCGGATTGAGTTTACAAGAGGAAAAAAAATCTTTGATTTTACGCCAAAACTCCAAAGGAAAAACATTTTTTGCTTCACCTAAAACAAGCAAATCTGTACTTAAATAGTATATTACATAACGAGCACGGAAAGTGTTAAATAACGCACAATCGGGAAAGTTGCGCACGAGGCGTTAGCCGAGTGCAGGCAATCCCGCGAGTGCGAGTTAGACACTTTCCTGCAAGTTTTGTACACTATTTTTCCTACGACCACAAATAATTTTTTTCTTACGAACATATTTTTTTTCATAACGATTTATTTTTTATAGTGGATACAAAAATACATTGAATAACGATTTATTTCTTATAATGGATACAAATACGTTAAATGAAAAAATACAAAACATTCGAGTGTGAATTGTGCGTTAGATTTCTAACACACTGTGCGAAAACAAATCGCACAGGTTTTCGACCTCGTACTATATTGCCAATTTTTGCGCATATGTAATTGTGCGTTATGATCTAGTTTCGTATATGCTCGTAGAAAAACTTTATTATTCTGATTCAGAGAAAAGAAAAGTTACTTTTTCTCTTGATTTTCGACTTAGAATAATTTTTCTCTGCTTTTTAAGTCCTATCATATTGGCGGATTTATTTATTTGACAATTAATTTATTAATTGAATAATGATGGTTTTTGTTAAAAAATGTTTCTTATCCTAAAGCTGTTTCTTTGAGTTCCCATTTATTAAAATTATGTCTTTCACAAATATTTTTGTTATTTAACTTTCGTAAACTCATTTGTCAAAGTAACATCATTGTGAAAATAATAAAACCGCCAATGTGATAGAACTTAAAAAGCAGAGAAAAAAGTCCAAAATCAAGAGAAAAATGAAGTTTTCTTTCTATTGAGTTAGAATAATGATGTTTTAATTACAGATTTGCTGCTTTCAGATAAATCAAAAAATGTTTTTCCTTTCCAGCTTTGGTGTGAAATCAAAGATAAAAAATTTTTTCCTCTTGTAAACCCAATCCGGGGACATTCAATTTGATGCTTTAATATGGTTCAAAATTTTTAGGGTATATCAATGAGTCTAAAAACGAAAACCAAATTTGGAAAAAAGTTAATTCATTGGAATTTTTTCTACATTATAAAATTCCCTGATTTTTTCTAATAGTAACTGTGAAAATTGATATTGTAAAAGTTGATAGGTTTTGAGTAATTAACATTTTAATATTGAAAATTGGGAATTCTGGTAATTTATGGCCAAGTTTAGGACGGCGTGCTGCTAATACATTTTTACAATATCAAAAGATCAAATTAAAGTGTATTTAAACCTTTATCGTTTATGCTATCAAAATTCTTTTTTAATCAATTAGAAATATTTATTTTTGCACTGGCCCTAAAACTTGGGACACCCTGTACAAAAGTTAACAAGTCTTCAAAGTCGATCAGAAATTTTCTTAGAGAGTAGATCATTGTGAGAAAAAAAAATTCTATTTGCAACACTGAATTTCTTTTTTTCTATACCTAGAATGATTTATTAAGAGACCTCTTTACCAGGGGCCACGGTTGGAAATAAATGACAATTATCTATAGAATGGTGACATTTAAGTTTGAAAGTCAAGTTGCCAAATTAAGATTTCATATTTGTTGCCAACCTAAAAAAATCTTAATCTATGGTCTCCCAGTATACAGGTGCGCCAGAACTCGCGCCCCAGAGAAAAAATGTCATGTAAGGTACGATACCAGGAACGAGGAAAAAATGTAAAAAAAATTCTATCTATATAAATTTTGAAGTTGTTGAAGTTTTGCATTATTTTTGTTGAAAAAATATTATTATTTTTATTAGCAAAATTTATATATCTTTACTAAATAATTATAAAAAACATATACAAAACCATCAGTATCATTAAATAAACATAAAAAAATATCAAATGTCAATAAATTAATGTTAAAATTTTTTGACATTTTTTTTTAACATTTTTTCCATGTTCCTGGTATCTTATCTTAAAGAGTTCTGACACACCCTGTATGTATTTGACCAAAATTTAAATACTGAAAACGGGCAATTTGTAAAATCTGGTAAATTCAATTAATTTCTGCTACCTAAAATTGAGTTGGTTTTTCATTTTGCAATTTGGTTGTTTCAGGTGTCTATGATGACAGATCCGGGAGTCGGGAGCGATGTCTCGTCGGGGGTGCCACAGATAAAAAAGGAGTTGGATGGTTTTCAAGATTGTTCACCATCCAACAGTGATATGTACTCCCCGACAACCACTGTTATGCATGATACAGGAGTAGGTTTTGCTCACCGAAATTTCGAAAAATTTCTCAGCTGAGATTTTCACCTTGCAGATCGACTTTCAAGAAGCAAATCATTACGACAGTAGTATACGATCTCCGGGAAGTCCAGAACGACAGTATTGCTCGTCAACGACACAACCTCACACTGACTCAGGGATGGGACACATGGAGGTAAGAAAAAATTCGACGAAAATCGAATTTTTCCACTATGACTAACACGTTTGATGTAATTTACAAAACACCTGAATGTTTATTAATGCAAATACGAGTGTAAACAATCCGCACTGAAGGGAAATCGAGTATAAACAAGTTTTGGAAATTTATGACTAAATTCGTATAATTAAATTATTTGTAACCACCGAGAGTGATTTGCAATCGTTCAACAAATTTAATAAAATTCCAACACGAAATCTTGACGTTTGGAAATTCAGATTTTGGTTTGTTTCCAGTTTAAACTGCGTAACTGATGGTTCGGGTTTTCTTAACTATTCATCATGTATACCAAACAAGTTTATTGTACTGCCACGTAAACAAAACATCTGCATTAACGAAAAATAAATTCTTGTATGTTAAATAGTGTTTTTTTTAGAAATGGAAGATTTTTTTATTATTACCAAAATTCTATGTTTATTTAAGATTGCATTTGAAATGATAAAACTATGACCTTATGCACTTAAAGCTACTAATTAACTTATTAATCTTTATATGTTACAAGATGTTGCACTGATTGGGCAAATTGTTAGGATACGAATTTAAAAAAAACAATTTTTATCATAATATTGTTTCTCTTCAACGTCAGCTTTGTCTTTTTCAAATTTCAAGTAAGATAAGATACCAGGAACATGAAAAAAATGTTTAAAAAATTCTATCTGTAAACATTTTGACATTTTTTTATGTCTATTTAATGATACTGATGATCTTGTATATGTTTTTTTTACAATTATTTAATAAAGGTACAAAAATGTTGCCATTAAAAGCCACAAATGAGTTACAATTTAGGATACAGCTTACTTGTTTCCTCTTTTAATAGCCTATTGCAAAAAAAACTTGGAAAATTTTTTTTTCAACAGAAATAAAGAGTCAAAGTGCAAAATTTAAACTCTCATAACATTAATATTTTTATAGATAGAATTTTTTAAACATTTTTCCATGTTCCTGGTATCTTACCTTATATGGCATTTTTCTCGCGAGTTCTGGCGCACCTGTATAATGTCTGCTTGCATTGTTGAATAAATAAACCAATAATAATCGTAATGACGGTAATCAATAACTTATACAAAATTGTATTTTTATCAAAAACATGAATAAAAAGAATACAGGAGAACTCGCGCCCCAGAGAAAAAAAAAACAAGTAAGATAAGATACCAGGAACATGGTAAAAATGTTTACAAAATTCTATTTGGCAAAAATTTTTCAGATTTATTTTTTGAAATTTGACATTTTCTATGTCTATTTAATAATACCAATGATCTTGTATATGTTTTTTTTTTAATAATTTAGTAAAAATACAAAAATTTTGTCAATAAAATTCACAAATAACATTAAACAGAAATATAATTTAGGATACAGCTTTTTTGTTTCCTCTTCTAATAGCCTGTAGCAAAAATAATTGAATAATTATTTTTCCAACCGAAATAAATAGAGTCAAAGTGTAAAATTTAAACTCTCATAACTTAGAAATTTTTATAGATAAATTTTTTTTAGCATTTCTGTCTTGTGTCTGCTGGTATCTTACCTTTTCTCTGGGGCGCGAGTTCTGGTACACCCTGTATTTTCATATAAGCATTCTACTAAGAGAATGTCAATTCTTCAGTAATGAATTGTGTGAAAATAAAAATTAATACATATTTATCGCAACCGTTTTCTGTAAAAAGTGTATACATACAGGGTGTCCCAGAGCTCCGTATTTCTTTTATTACTCTCACAATAACGAAGATAACGAAATGCGGTTTCTTCTGAACGATAGACATTCATTTTTTCTATGGTCCAAAATATTTTCGTCATTATAGGTAATTTCTGTATAGGGTGGCGCAACAAAGTTATATTTTTTCTTACGGAACATCCGGTACATTATGCGCTTAATTGAAAGAGTTTTTAATTATAAGAATATCCATATTAAGTTTTATGGTTTATCGAACGTTTATTATTTATGGGCAATTTTATGAAAAAAAAGTACCATTTTTGAAAAATCGCAGCGGCTTTGCTAGAAAGAAAAAGTGAATAAAAACAATTGCAACCATTTTTACTGAGTCTGGTCCTAAATTATTATGGTTAAAATTCGATCAATCTTTTGTAACTACTACAGAGTGTTGACATTTGCAAAATATCAAGTAACTTGATTTTTTCAAATGAAACATCCTGTATATTATTACTTTATTGTGTAGAGCTTTTAATAAGTTTTCTAAAAAACCTAGGGTTTGGAAATCTAAACAAAATTTTAAATTAATCTATTTAGCCTTAAAAATCAAGAAGGAATAGGAAGTAATATATAGGAATTACCTATAATGACGAAAATATTTTTTTTTAATTTTTTTTTTAAATATTTCGTTATCTTCTTTACTGTCAGAGTAATCGAAGAAATACGGAGCTCTAGGACAGCCTAAAAAATGTAATACATTTCAACACGCGACTAGTTGCATGTCAAGTATTGTGTTTTTGTATTTTTAACTAAAATGATTGTTTCCCGAGAACAGTAACAATTTTCTCCAATTGTTATATTGGTTTTTGAAGAGGTCTAAATTTTGTATTGGAACATAATGACAAATGTGGTCTAGACTACATAATAGCATGCATGTATTCAATATGTAGATATCGTGTAGAATAAAATGAATAAGATACATTTTTTATACTTCTAGTAGGTGGTTAAGTTGAATTTTCATTGGCCGGAAATGGTGCAGTAAATTTTTCGTCGATTTCAGGATGAAATGAAAGAAGAGGATTCTCCTCGAAGATTATGTCTCGTTTGCGGTGATGTTGCCTCAGGTTTCCACTACGGTGTTGCTTCATGCGAAGCGTGCAAAGCTTTTTTTAAACGGACAATACAAGGTTTTTTCAATAGTTTTTTTTTTTAAGAAAATCAATATTTATTTTTTTGAAATTTAGGTAATATAGAATATACGTGTCCAGCATCTGGAGAATGTGAAATAAATAAAAGACGAAGAAAAGCTTGCCAAGCGTGCAGGTTCCGTAAATGTTTAAGATCTGGAATGTTGAAAGAAGGGGTGCGATTGGATAGGGTTAGGGGTGGTAGGCAGAAATATAGAAGAAATCCGGATAGTCCATATCAAGTACAGGTCGTTTCGGCACAGAGACCGATGCTGCAATTAGAAGGTAAGAAAATTCAATAAAACTGATAACAGTAGTTAAAATGAAATTTTATCGTCTAGATGATAAAAAAATACATCCATTGTTGTATATCTGCGGTTGTTAGTTGCTAACGATTTTTGACATTAGATTTCATTGTTGAATTTTACTTTGACATTTATAAATATCGACCAAATTGACTACAAAATTAGTGAGGATTGAATAAAATTTTATATTGTACAGTCGCGGCCGTTGAAAACTAAGATAATTTGACTAAACCAAAATTTTGTCATTGTAAAATGGTCTGAAACTGAAGTTTCTAAAATGTCATTCAAATAATTACGAGTCGGTGTCGTAGAATAGAAAACCTTACTTCAAAACAATAAACAGACAGAAATAAGTAATATTTTATTGCAGCACCATCCGAATCCGAAATATTGAAATTGACATTGTCATCCTTGATGGAAACCTAATTTACACTTTACAAATTTTTAAAATAGCAAATAGTATACCAAAAGTGAATGTCTTAGTTTTCAAAGGCCGCCACTGTAGACGACGATAAAATTTTCATTAATTGCTCTCCAAGATAAAATTCAATTTTATCGTCTTGTATAATAAATAACTATTATTATACAAGACGAAAAGAAATTGTTTATCTGTGAGTGAAAAGTTTACGAGTGGCGAAGTCACAGTTGGACTTTTTGTTCACGAGTAGATAACCAATTCTTATCGTCGTGTATAATATTTCGTTTTATTTTGTACTCTCCTACTAGAATTTCTTGAATATAAACAGTAAATAAAAATTACTTTATTTCACTAGACGATAAAAGACTACTTTATCTACTGAAATTAGGTGATAAAAGCACTCTTTAACATTGAGTACAAAATAAACGGTTTAAACTTCTTGCATTGAAAAATCCAAGTTTTATTATTATTTTTATCTATTTTAAAAGTTGTAAATCTTCTTGCTCAAAATTCTACTGCAAATGATGAATGATGTAGTTAAAAGGGATTTTTTTTAATTTAAAGCGATTAAATAAGGTTTCAATATTGTATTTCGTGTTGTGAAGATTTAATGAAAATGAAATAATACGGCTTTAAATCATCGTTTTTATGTAAAACCAGTTGTTCAAGATTTTTTTATTGAAATCACTTAAGTACGTAAGTTCTGCTATTACTTCAATGAACTTACGTAATTGCAAAAACTTATTACGAAGCAAGTTTTTAAAGCATGATTAAGGAAATATTTTAATTGTCAAGAGAAAAAAAACAATTTTTTTTCTATTTTTATGTGAAAATAAGCTATTAAATGCATATTTCCGTTTTTTTTTTGAATATTTAGTTATCTCATAATTTTAGCTCTTTTTTGACATAAAATTTTGCTCCAATCGAATAATTTTGCCACAAAAAAATATGCAGAAAAAAATAATTGAATTAAAAGAAAAACACTTTCAAATTTAAAAAGGAAAAACAAAAAAAATTTATTACATTTATATGATGTTTTCCATTTTTGTTATTATTTTAGCAACAATGTTGTTTTAAAGTTGGCAATAATAGACTAATAATGAAAATCAAATTGATTTAAAATGTTGAAACCTTGAAATTCTTAATAGAATTCTAAATAACATTACTAAATTGTTAGGGAATATGATACTACATTGTATGTAAGCTTGCAAAGGTGAAAAACCAAAATCTTTGTTGAAAGAGAATTGATAATAATTTAAAGGAGTGGCTTACGCATTATTATTGCCAAATGGAAGATTTAACAATACAGTATCATCTGAACCACATATCTCATTTTGAAAAAAATTGTGATTTAGACTTATTGGCTTCTAAGAAAATACTGTATTACATTCGTGTGACATAAAAGTTGTATGATAGTAAATACAGGCTGTCCCACGAGCAATAATAATTAGTCTGAATTTTTTTTGAAGCAACCAACATTACATTTTATAGATAACGTGGATATTAAAATATTTCGTTTTAATTAGTTAAACATAGTGACCAAGAAGCACTTCAACTTTGATTTATAAAAAGTCAAACCTTGGAAAATTTGGTGAGAATTACTAAAATGTTGTTAAAATTGATGACATTTGATGTATGCGGTACAAAAGTCGTTTGAAAATAGCTCAAATTGTATTAATTTTAATGAAATACGAAATACAAGAAATTCTCACTTAGAACGACAGTATACACAGTCAGCGTTGCTAAAGGTATTGCATAAAATGCCAAAACCGAAATGGAAAATAGTAGATTACATACCATGGGAGGTACAGTCACGATCAGAAAGAATGTCACCCCTTAATTACATTTATTAATTTACACGATTAAAATATCGTTGATGTTACTAAGGTAACAACACGAAATCATGCTTCCAAGCCGGTGAAACCTTCGAAGGAATGTTTGTTAATGTTTATGACCCAAAAGATTGCTGCGGTTTGAGTTCAGCCTCTTGTTAGCCGGCCGGGTGTCTAGGGGTGACATTCTTTCTGATCGTGACTGTACTTCATTACCAAGGCGAAATTTGGATGACCAAGGATGACTTTGAAAAACATGACATGATGTTAAAGAACAGAAAGCCAATAAAACGTTTATCAAACTTTGAAAAACATGACATATGACAGTTCAGGTTGGGAAGTGGTCATTCCCTTATCAATTTTCGGGTTGGAAAGTGGCCAAATTCCAACCTGAACTGTCATTACATATCAAATGATAAGGGAGTGACCACTTCCCAACCTGAACCTGATGTTTTATATCAATTTTTAAATGAATATGAAATGTCTTATTTTTCAACTTTTTTTAACCTTATTCAAATTAAATTTTACACTTTAAATGCTTTGATCGCACCATTTTCAGAGCCAGAAAATTGTCTGAGTAATTTTTTTGAAAATATATTTCATACCCTTACTGAAATATTTGAAAAAAAATTTTTTTGGACAAAATTTTCAAGTAAGGTAAGATACCAGGAACATGAAAAAAATGTTTAAAAAATTCTATCTGTCAAAAAATTTTGACATATATTTTTTGACATTTGACATTTTTTTATATCTATTTAATGATACTGATGATCTTGTATATGTTTTTTTTATAATTATTTAGTAAAGGGACAAAAATTTTGGCAATAAAAGCCACAAATAACATTGAACAGAGTTACAATTTAAGATACAGCTTCCTTGTTTCTTCTTTTAATAGCCTATAGCAAAAAAACTTGGAAAATTATTTTTCTAAAAGAAATAAATAGAGACAAAGTGCAAACTTTAAACCTTCATAACTTCGAAATTTTTATAAAAAATTTTTTTTTGCATTTTTTCCATGCTCCTGGTATCTTACCTTATATGGCATTTTTCTCTGGGGTGCGAGTTCTGGCGCACCCTGTATGTCAATAGGAACTTTTTTTGATCGAATAAAGAATTCTCTGTAATTTTTCCGAACATCTTTCTAATATTTAACATTATTTTTACTAACGAATGTACAAAACTATTCTTTTACAAGTACTATACCAGGACCTTGACCTGATTTTCCCCCTATTTTTGAATTAATCCATAATTTAAACAAAAAATCAACAACAAACAAAATAAAATTGGTCCCAAACGTGATTTAAAAGTCACATAACCGTTTTAGCTTTGCTAAAACGAGCTGATCCTATGGATATATCAAAACATCTCATTTTTTTGCATAATCAGATATAAAAATGCTGGACGCCTTGGCCATCTGCGAGCCCGATTGTCTCGAAATCAACAAAGCTCTAGAAAACTCGAAACATCGGACCCTTTCCATACTCAGCGACCTCTACGACCGCGAATTGGTAGGAATCATCGGTTGGGCAAAACAAATCCCGGGATTCACCGATTTATCCCTCAACGACCAGATGCGACTCCTGCAAAGTACGTGGGCCGAAATACTTACACTCACGTTAGCGTACAGAAGCGTGCCATTGATCCAATTGGCCCGACTTAAATTCGCCAACGATTTCACCCTCGACGAGAAACAGTCGCGGGATTGTGGGGCCATCGAATTATATCAAACGGTAAAAACCATCAATTTTGGTACTAAACGCACGCGAATTGTCGGTTTATTTCATTTCAGTGTTGCCATGTCGTCGAAAGGTTAGATAATTTATCAATTTTGAAGGAAGAATACTACCTCTTGAAAGCACTCGTTCTTGCGAATTCTGATGTGCGATTAGATGAATCTCACTCGTTAAAAAAATTTAGGGACTCGATTTTATCAGCACTGTCGGACACCGTGGGCATTCTCAGGTATTTTATTTCAAATTACACAGGGCGACAAAAAAAATCATGTCATCACAACTTGACAAATTTTATATCAATTTTGTTCAATTTAAAATACTTTAACTTTAAAAAATCATTACTCAATAACTATTTGGCCGATTTTCTTCAAATAAAGACCATTCTAAAGGGATGGCCTTGCCCTTTAGAATGATATAAAATTTGAAATTGAATATTGGCAAACTTTTCTTAGAACAATGTTCGAAGAAGTTCGAAGTAAATCGAAATAATCTAAGAAAAACCCTACGAGTAATTTTTTTTTTTTCATCATTACCATCATGCAGAGCATCTCTTTATTAGTTGAAATCCAGATTTTCAAAAAAATATACCGAGTAGTGTTAAAGATATGAGTTTTTGAAGTTATGGTTTGCTAATCAAGCATTGCTCCATATAGGAGAAATGCATGTTAATCTTACTTAAAATTGCATTTTATAAAAGTATCATTGAGCAAAGAGGATCTAAAAGTTTAAGACATTAGCCTTAAATATAAGGGCAAATCTTTTTCAAATCAAATCATTTTCCATTCAGATTTCGACTTGTTTACTTTGTTCTAGCTTTCTGAACTTTTTCGAAAATGTTCTGAACAAATACTTTCTCATTACTTTTGAGTGATGTTAAACGCAATAAGTCACCTGATTTATTTTGTTGGTACATTCTACAATTAGCTTCAGTTTGCTTGTAGGTAGTAGTTGTTGTGATAGCAGTTGCACAGGAAGCCACTGACTGCATTCAACATCAGTAGAAAGTGATGAGAAAGCATTTGCTGAGAACATTTTCAAAAAAAAAGTTCAGAAAGCTAGAACAAAGTGAACAGGTAGGAATCTAAATGGAAAATCATTTAATTTGAAAAAGATTTGTTCTTATATTTAAAGCTACTGTTTTAAACTTCTAGATCCTTTTTGCTCAATAATCAGTGATCATTTTTAGAACAAAAAACTCTTTATTTGCTTTAATTAGTACGCAGGTACTCTTTGTTTGTTTTAAGTAATTCTAATTAGAACAAATAAGGTGCAATTGACCATTTTTAAGCAAAAGAAGAGTCTTAAAACAAATACTTTTATAAAAATGCAATTTTAAGTAAGATTAACATGTATTTCTCCTATATGGCGCAATACCTGAATAGCAAACCTTAACTTCAAAAAATCATATCTTAGAAACTACTTGGTATATTATTTTAGAAATTTGGATTCTTACTAATAAAAAGATGCTCTACACGATGGTGACGAAGAAGAAAAAATTTACTCGTAGGGTTTTTCTTAGATTACTTCGATTTAATTCGAACTTCTTGGAACACTGTTCGAAGAAAAGTTTGCCAATATTCAATTTCAAGAATATCCCTTTAGAATGGTCTTTATTTGAAGGAAATCGGCCTATAGTTATTGAGTAATGATTTTTTAAAGTTAAAGTATTTTAAATTCATTTAAATTAGAAAAAAATTAGTTCAAAGTGTGTGGACTTTTTGAAATTTTTTTTAGTGCATTTGATTTGTCCACCGCCTCCTTAATCAAATGTATCAATATCCCGCCTAGGCATTTCGTAAAAAATGCATTGGAGCAGTGATTCCGATTTTTTCTTAGTTACGGGGGTCACTAAGGAAAAACTGAATAATTTTTAATTATTAACAAAAAATAACGCAATTAATAAATGCTGGGAAGGAAGGATACAACAAAACTAGATACGCCAGGGAGAATTGATATTATGAGATTGAACCCTTTAAGCTAAAAAACTGAATTTGCCAAAAAAATTTCCCCAGATTAAAGCGCCAACGGGAATCACTTGAACTCAAAAAATGCCCAGGCGAGAAATGGAGACGGCGATGGATTTGTCTTACTGAGATGAACAAAATGATATGAAATGTGTCAAGTTGTCACGACATGTCGCCCTGTGTTATTGTTATTGTGAAAAATTGTAAAATTTTTGTTAGGCCAACAGGTGTGTTGCACCAAATCCAGCAATTACTACTATGCATGCCCGCTTTAAGGCAAGCCGACCAAGTCGTTAGACGATTTTGGTCAGACGTTCATCAGCAAGAGTTAGTACCAATGAATAAGCTTTTCTTGGAAATGTTAGAAGCGTACTGTCGGTAGCCTCGTCATTAAATCAACTGCCATCAAATTTTGTAAAAAACTTGTTTATTGAAACAGTTTTTTCCAAATATTTGTCATCCGTCATTTAGATTTTAAGCGTAATTTTAGACCCAGTGATAGAAGAAATAGTAGATTCCTTTTATTTAGCTACGGTTAGTTGTATATATATTTCATCATATTTCGCTTTAATCTAATGCATAAATCTTTTGTTTATGCATTTTTTATTAAGTTTTCGACTTTTACCTCATAAATATTATATTTTTATTTATACTGTCTATGGTTCAATTATAGATATTAGATTTTTCGAATGCTTAATTTCATATAGCAACAAAATTGATCATTGTGATTAGCGAATTAATTTGTTAACATGCCAGTAATTGCACAACTTTAATGTACTTATAAGTTTGTCACCAGGATTTTTTGTTACAGAAATTGCAGACATAACACCCATCTCAATTGTAACAATTAATTTAAAAAATGTCAATAAAGACTTGTTGTTTATTTACTATATTTTTGATGTGACTTTATAGCAATAAATAGACAATTAACAAATAATAAATATACGTTTATTCCTTACAAATAAAGATAAATATTTACACCAATAATATACATGTAAACAAAAAATAATTACATAAAAAAATAAATCCTACCCAATTACATGTATTCATAACTTTGAACATACTGCACGAATTTGAGCCAAAATCAAGGCAAGGAAATGAAAATTGGCACAAAAATCAGTCAAAATAAAAATCTAACTACGTCACGTGCCCATCGCTAACGGCTGCAATAACATGCACTTGTTTGCCTTTGCTGTTGTTGTAGACTTGCCCCGGACTGAACGGCTCCAACCTGGGATGACTATCGACCTTTCCTGACTTATCTACAACACAGTTATTACACCCGAGTTGCATACATTTTTTATCAACAAACCGGAAGTCTCCGCTGGGATATATTTCGAAATTCGGACCAGTGGTAACGGCAAATGCCCACTTGTTAAAGGCATTACGTCTAGAACCACACTTTGGGGTTCCGAGTCGGAATCGAAACACACGACTCCTGCTGTTCGGCCACAAACGGCCCAAACGCTTTGTTCGGCCAAAACTTCGTACATTACTGACTTTGAGACGTTGTTTTGTTCGAGTGAGTGACACACACTTGTTATTTTTAGATGGAGATGACAGAGGGCGCCGTCGCGGCAAAATTCACTACCTTTAGTCGGTTCTACGCTAGCCTCTAGAATATAGAGGGTCTGGAAAAAATTGTAAGAAACTGCCGACAAATGCGATTTTTCTACCTGATAATCTGTAATATCAAAATAATATTTGTAAACTTTACTGTCGTCGCTTTCATCAAAACTGTACATTAGCGAAAATTCGCCTTTAATCGCCGGTGCTTGCGCATTTGGTGTTAATAGGAGTTCCCACATGTACGACAAACTGACCCCATGAGGAATTATCTACAAGAAAATATTTAATTCATTTATTGAATAATAAAAAAATTGGATTTCCACTCACATGACTAGAACTATGATTTTTATCAATAATCTTACAAAAATCCCCCACATTTAGTTGAGGTTTTTCTACGTATATGTCTTTTTCGCATTGTCCTGCAACATTGATTTGGACAAATTTCCGGTGTTGTACTGTATTTAATCGCCAGATTGTCGTCAAAGGCGGCGTAAAACTCAACTTTACGACGATTGGTTTAGAAGTCCAAGGACAGCTAATGGATACTTGATGGTCTTTTGATAAAAGGTCGGCGAGTACTCGCAATGGTGTTCGAGTACTGCTAAAAGGGGGCCTTTCACCGAGTTCAATCTCTAAATTTGTGGTTAGGGGCTCACTGGGGTGCGTTTGGAAACTTAAACCCCGAGAAGCCGTTAGTTTTATTCTAGACTTCTAAAAAAAAAAGAAAAAATATTCAAGTTTTAAAGTATTAAACAAAAACACGATTTAACCCAAACTTTCAATCACAAAGTAGTCATCCTCAGATGAGAATAAGAGAGTTTTTATTCTCATTATTATTTTATTATTTGTAGATATTAAATAATTTTTTGACGTCTAGCTAACATACGAAATACCATGCGACATACGTCTTCAATTAGGACGTCTACGTGATAGAAAGACTTTTTGATCGCACTGTATTATAATTGTTTTCTCTGTATTGTTTGTTTATCTAAATATTCAATTATTATTAAATTAATATTAATTAATACACTCTGGTGCATAACTATAGCACCACCTAATTTTTTTGAAATTTTATCATTTTTAAAATAATTATTAAAGGATATTAATTTCAAAAAATGGAATATGATTAAATATTTATTGTACCAAAATATAATGACATTTAAACCTTTAATTTTGAATTGATTCCAAAAAACATTTTTTTCCGTGGTGCATAACTAACTATAGCACCACATAAAACTCAAATCGAAAATAATCAATTTTAAAATTTATATTCAATATTTGAATCCCCATTACCTTATAACGTTTTTGTCATTGTGTTAATTCATTATTGTCTCGCGGTAATTACCTTCCCAAACTTGAAAAATGTAAAATTTTGGTTCTAAGAGAATAATTGTTAAAACGTTCTGATTGTTGTAAAACCATATTTGTGACAATAATGTCTATATTTTTTGCAAATTATGACTTCTTTCTCTTCTGTTAAACATCCCGTGTTTCCCTACAACTGCACCCACCTGAACTAATTTTCACTCAGTTACCTTAATTTTTTGAACCACTACAAAACAAAATATTTTTTTCAAGAATTTGTTATTGTCGGACTAAAAATTAGTTTTCAAGTAATCATCAGATTTAGTGCAATTTATTGACATCTTGACAATAAGCAGGAAACTAAGTTACAAGTTTTGTACAATTGATTTCGTAAAAAATTTGTTTTTTTATTCACAAGTGGAAAGAGAGAACTTATAAAAGATAAAAGTTTTAAAAATTATTAATCCGATTCGCTGGCGTTTTTACATTTTTCAATATTTTGAAGATATATTTTGCGTATTACTTCTTTACATTATTTGATAGGGGCTGAATTTAAAAAAAAATAAAAAAAATTACATTTAATTCGATAAAAATTTAATAACTACCTTTTTTGGAAAAAGCAAAAATTGATCCCCTGCATACAGGCTGTGCAAAAAATCGCGCACTTCCGTGACACTGTGTGCCTAGACGACAAAAAAAAATGTTAAAAAAAATCTATCTCTAAAAATTCCGAAGTTGTGAGAGTTTTAATTTTGCACTATGACTATTTATTTCTGTTGGAAAAATTCCAAATTTTTTTGCTACAAACTATTAGAAGAGGAAACAAAGAAGCTGTATCCTAAATTGTATTTCTGTTTAGTGTTATTTGTGGCTTTTATTGACAAAATCTTTGTACCTTTAGTAAATAATTACAAAAAAAAACATATACAAGATCATCAGTATCATTAAAATTTTTTGACAGATAGAATTTTTTTAACATTTTTTCAGTACTCTGGGGGACTACCCAATTACTCCCTTTCAAGGAAGTGCGCGAATTTTTGAACACCCTGTATAACACATCTTTTATTTAAAAAAAAATTAAGCAAAAAGTTCAGTTAGTTTCCGAGATATTTTAGATCGAGTTTACATTGTAATTCCCATAAGAAGAATACGGGTGGAATCCCCTTAAAATAAAAGTTTGGTGTGAAGGGTTAAATCGAGTTTTTTTTATCGTTTCCATACCAAGAGGTCAGAAGAATATTCAAAGTATTGTAAAATTAAATAAAAAGGGGGGTCAAGAGTGTTCCGGAAATTTCATGTAACTTTTCCATTACATACCAAATTTGCTTTTACAACTCTACTTGTGTGATACACTATTATGTACGCTGTTAAGACATGTTGATATATGAGGAGCAGACTTTCAAAATGCAGTTTGTCCATTTTTTTATAAATTGAAATAAAGGTGGCGTTGCAGGCTATATGCAATTATCTTTCCAATGAACCTTTCCTGGAGGTTCAAATCGCATTTTGTTCTGTGTTAAAAAAATCTGGTGTGAACATCACACGACTTTCCTTATCCAACTTATTTAGAAAACATCCTTACGGTGTTGGAAATCCGAGTAGCAAACCTAACTTGCGTTAGTGCCACCTGCCGGGTTACAAGCGAAATAGATCATAGTTGTCGCGGGTTATAGTCGGGTGCATTTTTTTTTTAGTTCGGTACCCATTATTATTTTTATTTTATCACATTTTACTGTTTAATAAGGTATATTTCATGATTCTAAATAATTTTTATCCCCATGAATTTATTTATAGTATCTTCAACCGTATAATTTTGATTTTTGGTCTTTGCGGCCGAACGGTGCGACCAATTTTTACCAATTGTTTTGTGCTATGTCCCCTTGCTACATGTAACTTACATACCAAATTTGAAGTTTCTAGTTTCTATCTCGTTCTCGAGATAAGCTGTTTACAGACACACACACGACCCAATGGCCCAAACCAATTTTTTTGGTGTCTTGAAGCTATAATTCGTCCAAAAATGTAAAAATCTGGGTAAGTCAAATTTCAGCCGATTACAATACTTTCCTTATAGGATAAAGAAAGTAAAAATATTGAAAGTTGGCTGGACATTCAAACTGCATTTACTCCCATGTGTTGAAACAAAACGCATTTTGTCCTCAATTTTAGACTAAATGCAATTTGTTTGACAGTTGACGCACTTGACCAAAAAAACGGAAAAAAGCGCTGCCAAAAAAAGTCACACCACCATCCAAGTAAAACCGGTGTAGAAGATGCATGTGCAGATGTGGAAGAAAGAGGTGAAACATGTACAAATTTGTTTATTAATAGATATATAAATACCAAATAACGTTTTTTAACCTTGAAATAGCATTAAGTCCCCCTTTGACAATCAAACTCCATTATGTCCAAGACATATTTGTGTTTTTTTGTAAAATGCCTAAGTACTCCAGCCGTAAAATTAGTGTACAATTTGTACATATTTATTTTACACATTTATTGTTACTGATAAAAAAATTAAAATTATTTCTTAAAAGGACAGTTTTTGCTCTCTCCTGCAAAAATGCAAATTTGGACAAAATGCTTTTTGAAAGTCTGCTCTTCATATCTTGGATAGGACAGCCTATATTGAAACACTAAATTAACAAATTTAAGCGGCGTTATAAAACAGAAATATACAGGTTGTACACCCGCAGAAAAAACAGAGCAGGTAATATGTCGAAAGACCCTTATTTAGGAAGTTGGTCCGGATTCGAGGATAAACGTTTCTTCAAAACGGTCTTTTTCTGAAAATTTCTTCAATGAGTATAGATTATTAAATGGTGATTATAATAATTTGCAAAATGACACTAAGCAATTTTTAGAGAAAAAAAATGCATGCCCATGTATTTCATTACCTTAACAAAATTTTTGTGATTTACTTTTATTTTAGTAACAAATAGCTAGTTTCTTCCGTTTTTTATATTTATTTTTATTTATTACTTCTAAACAAAGTGATAAATTTAATGTCATAAAAATAATAACTAATATTATACAGTATGTCACGGGATTTTTTTATTTTACGCTAACACTGCAAAAGAAAAATATTTTTTGCTTCACCTGAAACCAGTAAGTCTGTAATTTTAAAAGTTCATTATTTTCACTCAGTGGAAAGAAAATTTAATTTTTCTCTTGATTTTGAGCTTGTAATAACTAATAACACTATAGTCTACAAACAATACGACCTTTAATCGAATTATTATTTTTACTTACCTTTAATTAAACAAAAATAATTGTTAAATTTTTCTATCACGTCACATTTTTTTGTTACAGACGATAATTTTCCTGCTTTCTGCACAAATGCCTCCGATTTAAAATTTATTTAAATTCAAATTGTTGCTGAATTATTGCAAAATTATTACTATATGGGTCTAAATAGGTCTCAAAAACATTTCACTCGCATTTGGACTTCTTTTCTAAAAATTTAGGGAGCATGAGTTACAAACAAGATCTGAAGGGTTTTCAAAGATCGACACGAAGGTTTTTAGGATGAAAATATGTTAGTAGATTACTGTTGGATTGTTATAAAGAAAACTGATCCAAAAAGTTTAATAAAACCAAGTAAAATAACTCACTTTTAAAATGTTTTTTGGCAGTTTTTGTATTTTTGTTAATTACATATTTCTTAAAGGTAACGTGGTGGACTTTTTTAAATAGTTTTTTTTAACTCAGTGCCACAAAATCTATAAGAAATTTAAAGTATAAAAATCGTGTAAACTAGTGTTATATACGATTATGCGTTTTAAATTCCACATTGGCTTTTTATTTTTTTGACAATGTCGATTTGACAGATGAGTTAACGCAAGTTAAATAACAAAAATGTAAAAAAAACATAATTTTAATAAATGGCAAGTCAAAAAAACAGCTTCTAAAAAAACAGTCATTTTTAACAAAAACAATCATTATTCAATTAATTAATTAATTGTCAAAGTGACATCGTTGTCAAAAAAATAAAATCGCTAATGGGATGGGACTTGAAAAGCAAAGAAAGATTTATTATTACAAATCCAAAAGTAAGAAAAAAATTAAATTTTCATTCCACTGAGTCAGAATAATGAAGTTTTAACTACAAATTTGCTCGTTTCAGAGAAAACAAAAACAACCCTTGCTGTTAAAGTGTTACTTTATCTACTCTAAAGAGTTTTTAAAGAAATAGTTTAACATCTGCTATAGAAAAAAAAGTATTTCTTTTAATTTTTTGGCGTAAAATCAAAGGTAAAAATTTGTTATAAAATGTATTATTAAGTTCAGAATTTTGATTATAAAGAAATAACTTGATAGAAATTGTCAAAATTCACAGTTTATTAAAAAATTCTAACATTTAAAACTAGTTCTGAAACCTGTAGATAAAGAACCTTAAAAGACAAGGCAAGCTAAAAATGTGTTTCCTTTGCAGTCTTGGCGTAAATACAAAAGTAAAATTTTTTTTCCTTTTATAAGCTTAACCCGGGAACATACTGTATACTTGCAAAATAGATTTCTTAAACAAATTTATGTATTTGTAATTTGATAATTTGGGAAGGCTTATTAATTACAATCACAATTTAATGTATACGTGATAATCTATGGTCATTGAAGTAATTTTTACAAAAATACATTTTTCGGGTCCGGACCAACTTCCTAAATAAGGGTTTTTCGACATATTATATTATACCTGCTCTCCAAACAGTTAGTCTGAAACGCTATTGCAACAAAGCGCAGCCCGAGTACAAAGTTAGATTGGTGAATAGTTTTTTCCCCAAGTGGACCATTTACCAATTTCAGGAATTTTGTTTAAATTGTTTAGAACAATTAGCCATAATGTTGCAACTTACTGGTTCAACTGTATAACTTCCGATCGTAATAATCAGATTCATGATTTGCTCAAACCCTGACAACAACGGAGCATCGGTTTTGTGTAGCCTCACGACAGGAGCCTCCTCTTTTACTTCGAAAGCTACTCGTGGTGACAACAATTGCGAAATCAAGTGAAGATTTTTCATAAAAATAGCCATTTGACCCAAGTAGTATTTCCCGACGTTCGTCGCTTCTTTACTCAGTCTTATCACATTCACTCCGGGTGTTACCACCAACGGCTAAAAATTAATATTTCAAAAACGTTAACACATTAATAAACCGAAAACTTTTTACAAGATTAATGACTTGGAGGCAGCAATGGAAATCACTCTTGGGAGGCGCTGCCGCACTATCCTTCCTCTTATGCTCCGGATGTTTACAAACAACACTCGCACTCGCCAACGTTTTATCCTGTTTTAGGTCCAAATGTCGATAAATTTGGAGTCTTTGGAGTAGAGGATCGCGCGGTTTCAAATCTTTACCCGTCAAAATCCGACTTTTACTGTACTTTTCGTTTTTTCGTCCCTCTTTCGTGTCCATTTCCATCGATAATTGAACATTTGTGCATAAAATCTCTCGCGGAAAATTCGACTCGATCACAATTTCGACATTTATAGTGCTGTCTTGTAAAATAACCGCTTCGTTTTTCAACGCAACGCTCGTAATTTTGATAATATCGTTGAAAGGCACTACTAAGGGTTTCTCAAGTGATTGAAGACACTTCCTCATTTCGTCAAAGTAGCTCCAACGGATTAGAGTATCGATTTCCAAAGCAGCAGCCACACTAGCACTCGTTTTGATAAATTTTTTCACATCTCCAGCCTTTCGATGACATTCGGCGAGCTCGATTTGGGTTTGAGCGGCCAATTCGTGCCATTTATCTTGTTCGAAAGTTCGAACAGCGTCGCTGAGGAAAGCGGCAGCGGTTTGGGTTTCCCCCAAAAGAAGGTAAAACGAAGCCACTTCGCGACCCACGAGACGGGCAGAACGGAGACGCCCGATGTGTTTGTACGTACACATTGCCAATTCTGCCAACTCCTATAGACAAAATCACGATAGAAAAAAAAATCATCATATTAGTATCGAAACATTTACTAAGTAAGTTTTTTTGAAAGCTTCCTGCGAACATAATGCTTCTTTGAGTTTGTCGGTGGGTGAGGGGCTGTCAGGAGCTCCAGGATTGTCACCCATTCCAGCTGATAGGCCCACGACGGTGTGCAGTTGCTCGGAGGAGGGGGCACCGCCGGGCATTAGGCCGCACAATTCGCCCAAATCACGCAACTAGAACAAAACCGAAAAATAAATTACAATGTGTTTAAATTCAAAATGGACTACGACTTTGATATTAATTTCGACAAAAAATATATTGCCAACATGAATTATTGGTGGATTTATTTGCAGGCACCTCGCAAATAAATGACAATTGCATAAAGTCTGTTTTTTCTTTAAATGGAAATTACCCAAGTCAAAATTTTGGTGAAAAGCAGCCCCATAGCTACAAATTTTATTTGCTCTTTGTTTTTGTCCCTAGAAATTATGTTTTCAAATTGAGATGTTGTCAAAATTTTTACTTTTATGAATCTTGTGTGCCTGTTTGCTCTTTGAAAGCGCTATAATTGAATACCTGAGAGAAGGCATCATTACCTAATGCCTAAGGACAGAATTCAGTGATAATAATTTTGATAGAAACACACCGCAAGTAAGTACAATTCTGTGGAGCAAAATGAGGTTTTTGCTACAAAAACTTTGAAGAAAAAGGATGTATACAGAGTGCGTCAGAACTCGCGCCCCAGAGAAAATTTTCAAGTAAGGTAAGATATCAGGAACATAAAAAAAATGTTTAAAAAATTCTATCTGTCAAAAAAAATTGACATTTATTTTTTGACATTTGATATTTTTTATGTTTATTTAATGATACTGATGTATATGTTTTTTTACAATTATTTAGTAAAAACACAACAATTTTGCCAAAAAAAGCCACAAATAACATTGAACAGATTTACAATTTAGGATACAGCTTTCTTGTTTCCTCTTTTAATATAGCCAAAAAACTTGGAAAATAATTTTTTCAACAGAAATAAATAGTCAAAGTGCAAAATTTAAACCCCCATAACTTTGAAATTTTTATAGATAAAATTTTTTTAACATTTTTTCCATGTTCCTGGTACCTTACCTTATATGAAATTTTTTTCTGGGGCGCGAGTTCTGGCGCACCCTGTATACAGAAAAAAGTTATTTAACAAAAGACACAAGTTGATGTTATGATGATTGGCAATAAAATTTGTGTAATTTATTGAAATGAGCTCAAGGTTGATGCATTTTATAAATTCTTCTTCAGCTTTAGTTTTAAAATTGTTACTTTTTTAACTCGTTCCTCAAAAACCATGCACAAGACACTAATTTAATTGCGTTCCTTCCGAGGCTTATTCTCATTCATGTTTATTTTATATTCTTGTCAATTTATCTATAAAAATTTCGAAGTTATGAATGAGAGTTTGCACTTTGACTCTTATTTATTTCTGTTGGAAAAATAATTTTCCAAGTTTTTTTGCTACAGGCCATTAGAAGAGGAAACAAGTAAGCTGTATCCTAAATTGTAACTCTGTTCAATGTTATTTGTGGCTTTTATTGGCAATTTTTTTTTCCTTTATTAAATAATTGTAAAATCATCAGTATCATTAAAAAGACATAAAAAAATGTCAAATGTCAAAAAATTTTGACAGATAGAATTTTTGAAACATTTTTTCCATGTTCCTGGTAGATTATCTTACTTGAAATTTTTCTCTGGGGCGCGAGCTCTGGCGCACCCTGTATACAATAATGCCAGCAGTTGCAGTACGTTTTTTATAGTTATTATTTTTTTATTATTATTTTGAATTATTGTCATTTTTATTTAGCTGTCAGCATTTTGACTTGGTACAGTCATGGACTGTGAATTTCGTCCACCCAATTTCTGTGAATTCACAAAAAAATCAAAAAAAAAAGTTGCACATAAAATCAGTTTTACATTTTATGTCAACCGAATGACAAATCGTCTAAAATTTTGTATTCGTACATCTAAATATCTAATTTACAATGCACACTAGAAAATTCATATTCTTTGGAGGGGCATTTATGATTTTTTAGCTAGGTTTTTTTAGTTTAAAAGTATCCTTGTTTTCCATTGCAATTTTTTGCCATTGACCACATTTATGGGTAGAATACCACTAGAAAAATGCGAATTTTTCATTTATAGTTACAAAAAGTGCATGTCTTATAAAAAAAAGATTGTGATAGACCGAATCATTTTTTTATGAAGAACAACGATAAATTTAAAAACAAACACGATCTGTCCAATGATTTTTTTTCATAGTTGCCCCGGTAAAAAACTATTTTTTTAGACTTCTTTTGTATACGCTCTCGAAACAAGCTGAGCCTTTGCTGGACCTAATAAAATAGTATGAAAAATGGTTATTTTAGGTACTCAATACCCAAAATAGGTACAGTTTTTCCAGTGGCAAAATTTGTTTAATTAATAATGGGTGTAAATTTGTTGTACAGTGCGATCAAAAAGTCTTTCTATCAAGTAGGCGTCCTAGTTGAGGACGTATGTTGCATGGCAGTTCGTATGTTATCTAGATGTCAAAAAATTATTTTATAAAAATTAAAACATTGAGCTAATTAAATTGAATTATTCTATGAAACGTCTCAAAACAAACTAAAATAAGATTTTGTTGGTGTTTATTCATAAAAATCGTTCACCACGGTTTCCTGTCATAATTTACATAAAAAATATTTTGACATTTCTCATTTGTCATTGTGACATTTTATCTTCCACAGACATACGTTTTAATTTTCTACGCTTGCCTGATAGACAGACTTTTTGATCGCACTGTATAATAAATTATTTTGTCTGATTATTGTTGCTATTTATTCAAACTCTCATAGATAATAAATAATCTTAGATCCCCACAAGGCACACATTTTTTCGAAAAAAAAATGGTCAGGTCTACTAAACACGGGAGATTCGATAGAAGTAACATTCCAACAAAATTAGTTTGTTTTTTTAGTTTTTTTTTTTTTGTGTTAACGTTTATTAATGACAATGTTCTCAAAATAATTAAAAAAACCGAAACTGCCAACTTAATTAAAAACTGTTTGCCATTTCCATTAAAAAAAACAGACTTTATAAAGTCGTAATGTATTTGATGGTCAGTGTTGCAAAATTAAAATTTCAAATTTTTGGCCTACTTGACAACAAAATGACAATGTTGCCAACATTTTGATCAGCAATTTATTAAAGTGCATGGTAAAAAGTTGTTTGTCTTAGTTTATACTTATTTTTACATTTACTTACCTTTTCACTCGCGTAGGCCCACAAACAGGCCGTATGCAACGAATAGTCTTCAACAGCGTCGGCATTATTGTACTTGTCACAAACCTGTAAAACCTCCACACAGGCCAAAAACAACCAACAAGAAACCGCTCCAGGCGGCGAATTTATTTCTAAAACGGTAATTTCCCTTATGGTTAAGTGAAGAAAAGGTAAACATCTTGAAGCCATCTAAAATAAAGATTTTCATCCATTTCCTCCAACACAAACTCTGTCAAGGGCGGATCAAGGGGAGGGGCCCATCGAAAGCTTCAATTTTTTATATTTAAATTTTAATATAAAAACCTTATGACCTAATGTTTTTTAAATAAAAACATTAGAATTTTTTTTAATCAGACTTATTACAAATCATACATACAGGCTGTCCCAACGGTCCGAAAAAACTCTATAACTTGTTTCTTTTAAGAGATATTGACTTTTCTTTTTTTAGATTATAGCTGCGTTTTTGATGCACATTTTAAAAATATTGCGGTTTATATACAGGCTGTCCCAATATTAAAAAAACACTAAAGTTATGTTTTTTTTTAATGGAATCTACTCAGTTTGATTTTATTTTTGGATTCTACGCTAAATTACAGAAAAACTTTTATAGAGGTTGTTTTCATTTATCTGTTATCAATTTTGATTTGTGGCGTTTTTTCACCAGAATTTTTTAAATGCAGAGGTCTGTCTAAAAATTCGTATTTTCTAAATGCTTGCACACAAGTTAAAGTAAGTAACGCCATTTGATTCCTGAATGTTTGCCGCATCTTTTAAGTGTTTATTCAACAACCTGCTCAGTGGCATGCGCCTACTACGATTTTTTAAACATGACAAATTAAAAATGTCAAAAACTCATTTTTTTCAAATGGCACCCTTTATTTATTATTGTACCAATCAAAAGATCTTTTGACAAGCTTTCTATCAATATAAGGTTTGTATAGTCTAGTGTAAAATTCTAAGTTGCTATACTAAATTAACTAAATTTTGACAAATTTTTCTGTTTTGAACAATAAAAATCGAGTGGGCCTTATGCAAAAAAAATAGCACAGAAAATAAACAAAAGTATGGAATTGGAAATTCTTTGCTGGAAGAAAATGTAAAATATTGAGCAAAATTGAGTTACAGAGAAAATTACGCAAAATCTAACATATCGCAAAGCAGTAATTTAGTAGAAAAATGTAAAAACATTAACAAACAAAAAAAAAACAAAACATTAAAGCTATTTTACAATTTTCTTTATAACAGATGTTCAAAAATATTACCATTTTTTTCAATACAAGTATGCAGTCTTCGTCTAAAAGATCCTCCGCAGTTGGTCTCAATTTATATACATTTTTATATAATTTTTTAAATGCAACACTTTGCGGCAGTCTTGCATTTGGGTATTTTTATTTGTAGAGTCTTTGAGCCAATAAAATATTACGATCCGATTCACCAAGACTGTATACCATGTTAATGAGTTCTTGACGAGTAAAATTCATTTTGGGACTTATAATCTTCACAATAAAACTGATAGATTGTAACAATGTCAGAAGCCCACTCGATTTTTATTGTCCAAAACAGAAAAGTTTTTCGACATTTAGTTAATTTAGAATTTTGTACTAGACTATATAAACCTTATATTGATGGAAAGCTTGTCAAAAGGTCTTTTAATTGGTACAATAATAAATAGAGGGTGCCATTTGAAAAAAATGAGTTTTTGACATTTTTAATTTGTCATGTTTAAAAAATCGTAGTAGGCGCATGCCACTGAGCAGGTTGTTGAGTAAACACTTAAAAGATGCGGCAAACCTTCAGGAATCAAACGGCGTTACTTACTTTAACTTGTGTGCAAGCATTTAGAAGTTACGAATTTTTAGACAGACCCCTGCATTTAAAAAATTCTGGTAAAAAAGCGCCACAAATCAAAATTGATAACAGATAAATGAAAACAACCTCTATAAAAGTTATTTGTAATTTAGCGTAGAATCCAAAAATAAAATCAAACTGAGTAGACTCCATTAAAAAAAAACATAACTTTAGTGTTTTTTTTATATTGGGACAGCCTGTATATAAACCGCAATATTTTTAAAATGTGCATCAAAAACGCAGCTATAATCTAAAAAAAAGAAAAAGTCAATATCTCTTAAAAGAAACAAGTTATAGAGCTTTTTCGGACCGTTGAGACAGCCTGTATACCGAGAGATCAAAATAAATAATTTTTAGATCCGAAAACGTACAGTTGCGGAATTAAAATTTCGGGCATTACTGTCATTTTCGTTATGTAAACTCTAAAACAACCTTTATATTACTAACCTCATTTTTTACTCTTGTCATATTTATGTCATTTTTGACTTATTTAATTTCAAAAACAGTGATTTGTGGCATAATAACAGGTAGGCAACAGATCAAAGCGATGATTTAATTACACTTAGTTCAATTAATAAATTTCCCAAGACAGACTAATTGTTTTATTAATAATTTTAACAACAAATAAAAATAAGTTTAATTGTCAAATGTCAATCATGATGACAGTAAAAGGTAGTTTACAGTGAACTTTTTAAAGTGACAGAAAAATACTGCCCCAATTTTTAATTCCGCAACTGTACGTATGTCTGTTTTTGAACTAACTGCACGTGAAACGTCAAATAAAATGACAAGTCTAAAACGGCAAAAAGGTCTGGAATTAGTCGCCAACGTATAATAATAATAAGACCGTTCTTTTTTGAAGGTAAATCATAAATTTACTTATTTTTTTTGATCATGAGATTTTACCTTTCCATTTGTCATTTTATTTGACGTTTCACAGACATACGCACAGGACATACGTTTTCGGATACAAGGACGAGTCGATTACAAATTATTTTGATCTCTCGATACTTACTTAGTTTTTACTAATTTAAAAAGAAATCATCAATTGTAATTTTCTTTGGGCCACATCTTAGGCATCTAATTAAGTTAAATTTATATCTGTTTGAATAATGAACTTTACCAACTCGCTAGAACACCTTATCGAGTGAGCGGCAAAATTATGGAATAATTTTATTAAAACAGAAAATATTTTGTTTTGGTAAAAATGCTCGAAGTCAATTTTCTTTTTAAAAATACACAATTTTCAACTTGTTTCAAAATTCCACACTTTTTGTTTTTTGGGTAATGACGGCAGCGACATTTTTTAATTTTTTTTTAGCAAATTTGATAATTTTTTAACTGTCGAAATGGCAACACCAAAATATTATGTATTACATAGTTTTTCAAAAAAAAAAAACTAACACACCCACCGTATACAAACACAAGACACATAATTAATTATCTTAAGAGTGTTAATTTATTAAATAAATTGTAAAATTAAATTTAAAAATTTCAAATAATTAAATAAAAATATCCAAAAAGTGAAATAATATCAATAAAAAACAAAGAATTTTAAATCAAGTTAAATATTTTGTATTTTTTTTTTTAATTGACCTCTTCGAGCATTTTTGCCAAAACAAAATATTTTCAGTTTTAATAAATAAGATTACTCTATAATTTTGCCGCTCACTGTATACCCTCATCATTTTAAAACTTTTTATTTAGCCCCCCCCAAAATTAATTCCTGGATCCGCCCCTGAACTCTGTGTTACGAACCTCCCACACTTTATTTGCCTTTAGTAACATTTGAGCCTGTTTAGCAAACAAATATGCTCTTAATTCTAACAGAGATGGACTTTCAGAGAGCATCGTTGAGTTATTGATTTTAAGCCCATGCCACTGTTCTAGAGGCTTTTGGAAATCGACAAGCCAATTTATCGACTCCCCGGTAATACCGTTTACTACAAATTGAGAAAAGAGAGCATCTAATTCGTCGTATTGCACTAAAGCTTCCTCGTGAACGCCTAGCATTTCTAAAACGTGAGCCAATTCCTCCTGAAATATCATTTCTAGGTGAGCAAATCACAAAAAGTGGCTTGAAAAATACTTGGAGGTGAAAATATTGCATAAAATTCCAACCAATTTCGTTCCTACGTTCTCGTTGTTGCCTCACATGGTGCTCAAGACGAGACACAGCGCGTGCATACGCCACTAATAACAAGTGGCGAATGCGACTCACTAAACCCCGCCAGGAGTCAGCTGAGCGGGCCTCAACTTTGCCTGGATTTATCACAGATATGCACCGATCACCTTAAGAAAAGTTATCAAAACTAGAAAAGTTTCAAGTCGCAATAACAAACCTTGTTTAGGAGCAAAGTCGGTCCGAATTTTATCCAAAACAGTGGTCCTGGGTAACAGCTTATTAGTACGTTTTCCATCGTAATTTTCCACTACAACAACCAAAAAATCCGAAATATCCCGCGACTGCAACTCTTTTAACCAATTTTCAATATCATCCCTGACTGTATTTTTGTACAAATCAACGTCCTTGAAAAATAAATATTGTGATTTATGTGAGTGTTGGAGTAAAAACTACCGTGCATTCCGTCCAATAAATGTGGAACAAAGGGTGTCTGATCAAGTCCCACTGCCCCCCCTTGGGCAGCGCCGCGGCACTGTAGGGGGTGAAATTGGCCCCAATGTGCACCGACCTCACAGGGCGGCCTAGAGACCGCCGCCACTCGCAAGAATCCTGGGGCAGGGCTTGAGACAGGTTGTCTTCAATCGTTGAAAACACTTCCAATTCGCCAGCGCCTGAAAATTCCACTAGAACAGTGCACTACATTAAGGGGCACCTACATGTAATTATTGGTCGTCTGTCAATCGTTGACCCGTCGTCAATTGCTGTACCATTCATGATTGGAATTTGAAACTTAACCAGGAGGCAAAAAAAAGGTCATTGTCGAAAGTTACTCTACTCCGGGGTTCTTCGATCAAAGGGATAGACGGGTTGATATCTTCATGGTTCGTATTGTATTTCATTAATGATTTTAAAACATACAACAAAAATAAACACCATCAATATGAGTTTGACAGATGATTAAACACCCCAAAAAATTAAAACGTGTTGTCAATTGTCATTTGTAAGGGTTTTGCGCGCGCGAGAATTCAAGTAGTCGAGAATACACGCTATCGAGAATTCCTCAGGCATTATCAACCTTTTTTGGTTATTTATACCAGGATCTTCAACTGAAAAGAATTGAGGCAAGTTGTGGAATATACGATTGCCTTCTATAACGAGTCTTCTATATTATTTTTCTATTTTCCGCTTTTTATGTCGTTCTTAAAGAAAAAATAAAATTTTCAAATTTAGGGAATTTTTCGTGACACGTAACTGTATTATTCATGAAGGCGTTTGAAAATTCGGGCGCAGGATAAATTCTTAACAAAGCGTGTGCGGGGAAGTCCAGAAGGCGAAAATATATAAATTCTATTGCAAAATATGACAAAAATTAAAAAACTATTAATTAATCTTATCAGAATGAAATTATCTAATTTCCTCTCGCGCCTCTCGGATCCAGTTATAAAATATGTATTTATCCAAAAAAAAAAAAACGTGTGCGGGAAAGTTTACAGATTTGTTTACAAGAAATTCATAGTGGCCATTTAATTTATCTCAAAGTTGGCAGCACTTAGCCCGCCACTTCTGTTTTGTGGGTTTTGTCAAAGTTGGTCGCAGAAATGTCATAATTATAACAGGCGCAATAGGGTTTATATGCGAAGTATTCTAACCCGACTTTTTTAGAATTGTATTTTTGATAGCTATTATGTCACTAAAAAAAACAATTGAATGTTTAACATTGGATTTACACAACTCAATTTTTACAAATTTACACAGGGAAGTGGCCACTGACCGCGTCTTTAGGATTTAAACTTTTAGGAAAATTACGTTTTTTATGTTTATGGTAACTAGAATTTTCAGAAGTAATTTTGAATGCCTAGGGTTGGTTACCCTTTGTTGTAGACGGTTGTCGTTTTCTGTCAACCTGCTGTCAACTATCAATTGAATTTTACATACAAGCTGACAGGTGACTTAACCTAAATTTTGACACTAGTTACGATATCTTTTGTTTGTCACCAGAAAGCAACCTAACGAAATTTATTCACGAATATCCCAAAATCCTAGGGACCAATTTCTTGTTGATACGACAATAGGATTGAGTAAATTCGACCCTACAAAATACTCTTTTCAAAAATACAAAAAAATAAGAAAAAATGTATTTAAAGAATTTTTTCATAAAAAAAATACATTATGAGAATTCCTCCCTCGTTTCTTTCTCATCTAGCGTCTCCATCGTATTTGAATGGCCGCCTTGATTAAATTCCATCTTAAACACACTCAAAATTAATTCAAAGTTAAAAAAGTTAAAAAATCTTTGAATTAGATATAAAATGACGTTATTTTGTTTACTCAAGGAGAAATTTTTTAATTTTGAATTTTTTTTCAAATTTAAGCCCATAAAACATTATTTTGGTCCGTTTTCATCAATTTAGGTAATTTTTGAGCTATAAATTTATTTATTACACAAGATTTTGTCAAATCAAACCGAAAATTTTCCAAATTAAGTAAAAAAAGTATGATATTTAGTTCTACTTTGAACGATTTTTTTAAATACAAATGCAGATTTTGTTGTATGAAACTAAAAACCTTAAATTCTGATAGCAAAAAAAAATAAAATAAAATATGAAAATTTCTAGCACACAAAATGGATTCAAAGATTTTTTGACCTTTTACCAAAATGTTAAATTTTAATAATGATATTACCTCCTGTTTAAGCTGTTCCAATTCTTCCTTTTTAGTCCTTTTGAAAAATCCGGCCTAAAATTAAAATTTTAGCAAACTAAAGTACAATAAATTTCCATACTTTAATCAGACCAAGAATGACCAGCAAAAGTAATAATAAACCTGCTATAACGGAAATAATAATAATCCAAAGTTCCACTTTTTCTTCTATTGTTTCCCCAATAAATAAGGAAACTACATCAAAATGATCAGTCTTGTCACCACTTTGTATAAAATTCACCGGATTTGTCACCAAAACCCGGCCTTGAGTCGCAAACAGAATTATATCCTTCTTGCCAAACAAATCTGCAAAAAACTAATTAATTCCATCAAATAATCACAGGGCGACAAAAAAAAGTCATGTCGTGACAACTTGACAAATTTTATATCATTTTGTTCGTCTCAGTGAGACAAATCAAATGCACTAAAAAAAATTTTAAAGGTCCACACACTTTGAACAAAATAATTTTTTTCTAATTTAAATGAATTTAAAATACTTTAATTTAAAAAAATCATTACTCAATAACTATTAGGCCGATTTCCTTCAAATAAAAACAATTCTAAAGGGATGGCCTTGCCCTTTAGAATGATATGCAATTTGGAATTGAATATTGGCAAACTTTTCTTCGAACAGTGTTCGAGGAAGTTCGAAGTAAATCGAAGTAATTTAAGAAAAACCCTACTAGTAATTTTTTTCTCGTCACCATCGTGTAGAGCATCTTTTTATTTGCAAAAATCCAAATTTTTAAAATAATATACCGAGTGGTTTTTAAGATATGATTTTTTTCCATATAGGAAAAATGCATGTTAATCTTACTTAAGATTGCATTTTTATAAAAGTATTTGTTTTAAAACTCTTCCTTTGCTTAAAAATGGTCAATTGTACCTTCTTTGTTCTAATTGCAATAAACAAAAACTGTTTGTTTACTTAAAACAAATAAAGAGTACATGCGTACTAATTAAAGCAAATAAAGAGTTTTTTGTTGTAAAAATGACCACTCATCATTGAACAAAGAGGATCTAGCAGTTTAAGGCACGAGTCTTAAATATAAGGGCAAATCTTTTTCAAATCAAATCACTTTCCATTCAGATTTCGACTTGTTTACTTTGTTCTAGCTTTCTGAACTTTTTTTGAAAATGTTCTGAGCAAATGTTTTCTCATCACTTTCGAGTGATGTTAAATGCAATAAGTCACCTGATTTATTTTGTTGGTACATTCTACGATTATCTTCAGTTAGCTTGTAGGTAGTAGTTGTTGTGATAACAGTTGCACACGAAGCAACTGACTTATTGCATTCAAAATCAGTAGAAAGTGATGAGAAAGCATTTGCTGAGAACATTTTCAAAGAAAAGTTCAGAAAGCTAGAACAAAGTGAACAAGTTGGAATCTGAATGGAAAGTAATTTAATTTTAAAAAGATTTGTTCTTATATTTAAAGCTACTGCTTTAAACTTTTAGATCCTTTTTGCTCAATAATCAGTGATCATTTTTAGAACAAAAAACTCTTTATTTGCTTTAATTAATACGCAGGTACTCTTTGTTTGTTTTAAGTAAAGCAACAGTTTTTTGTTTATCCTAATTAGAACAAAGAAGGTGCAATTGACTATTTTTAAGCAAAAGAAGAGTCTTAAAACAAATTCTTTTATAAAAATGCAATCCCAAGTAAGATTAACATGTATTTCTCCCATATGGCGCAATACCTGAATAGCAAACCTCAACTTCAAAAAATCATATTTTAAAAATTACTCGGTATATTATTTTAAAAATTTGGATTCTTACTAATAAAAAGATGCTCTACACGATGGTGACGAAGAAAAAAAAATTACTCGTAGGGTTTTTCTTAGATTACTTCGATTTACTTAGAACTTCTTCGAACAGTGTTCGAAGAAAAGTTTGCCAATATTCAATTTCAAATTTTATATCATTCTAAAGAGCAAGGCCATCCCTTTAGAATGGTCTTTATTTGAAGGAAATAGGCCTAATAGTTATTGAGTAATGATTTTTTAAAGTTAAATTAAATTCATTTAAATTAGAAAAGAAATATTTAGTTCAAAGTGTGTGGATTTTTTGAATTTTTTTTTAGTGCATTTGATTTGTCTTACTGAGACGAACAAAATGATATAAAACTTGTCAAGTTGTCACGACATGACTTATTTTTTGTAATGAAAACACAACCGACCTTTGATTGCATTGAAATCAAAAAACATTTTTAGTTTTAATATCGCCGTTTGGTATGACTCAATAGGACCAGCAGAACAAACAACTTTTGAACAAATCACTCCAGACGTTGAACAATTTATGTAAAAAGTGCGATTTTGTAAAGCGTCAAATGTATTATCTGTAATTCTTTCCTTAACTTTAGTCGACTTGTTAAAAATTTCAACTTGTCCCAATGAACGTCTTGTACGGACTTTTTCGTCCTCGAGGACCCCAAAATCCTCCACAATGTAAGTAAAATTACTCGAACAAGTGAGTTTTTGGCCGGCAAGTGTCCCCACAGGTTGGTACAAATTTATAAAAGTGATGCTTTTATCATGGTAGAAAATATGGGGAATATTAATTTCGATGGATATTTCGTTTAGTGAACTACTTCCAAATTTTTGGACTTGGTATATTTGGGTAAAAGCCCGTCCTTGGGTTATGTTTTTATACGAATAACTTTGCTCCTCCGATTTTCTAAAACAAAATTTTGACTTTTTTATCACTGGGTTAAAAAAGTAGGTACCCAGAAATGGTGACATCAGCTTTGCGACCGAGCTTTACAACGAGCTGTTTAACATTTACTTTATCATTCTCACTGCTGGTAAATATTTTGATAGTGAAATTCAAAGAATCGTCGTATTTTCCACTATTTACAGTTGTCATATCCAATTCCAAAGTAATTTTTTTCTGTAAATTATCAGTTTAAAGTCATAATAAAATCAAATAACACACACCTGGCTATTATTTTCCAATGGATTATCAACCGAACACAAAACTGACGAATTCTGTTGGGCACAAACAGATGGTATACTTCGAAAAGTCACAATTTTGGGTATTTCAACTTCTAATTGTGTCAAATACGCCCTCTCACCCAAATTTCTTACAACAGTTTCTAATGTTATGTAGTTTTTCGAACCTAAAGTGAATTCCTCGTCGCCCCTAAAGAAACAAAGTTTTATAATGAATCACCAACTTTTTATTTTTACCCAAAGTCAATTATTCTTGATGTAAACTCTAAACTCGATTTGCAAATGTTATCAGACCCACAACCTAAAGCAAAAGGAATCTCGATTGTGCTAGACGAAACTGAATCGTGTTTGTTATAAACCGGACATCTGGGACAAAACATATCATCAGAGATTGAATTTGTACCAACCAAAAGTATTCTTTGCGTTTCAGGTTCAGTTAAAAAATTGTGTTTTAAAGAGATTGTAATTGGATTATAACGATTTGAAAACGCATCCTGCAATATGCAATCAGTAAAAAATTAAATAAGTTTAAAATTTACTTGAAGAGTTATTGTGAAATTTTCACAATATTGCCGATGTTGGTTTAAACTAATTTTTTGAACACTTTCGCTTCCTTCCAAATGGGCTCTTCCTAAATCTTGGTCAACTAACAAATATCTTGTGATTTCTACAAAAAAGTGTTTAGATTTGTTTTAATTCAATAGTAATTTTATTACGTATAGTAGGAGCGTCTAATTCGTCTAATCTATACCACAAACAAGCCCTTATTTTGAAACTTTTTTCCTTAAAATCCAAATGTTGCGAAAACGATCTTAAATTTTGGTAAATTGTGACTACTGGACGTGATCGTAAAACCACAGCGTGGCCCGATAAATGCGCACCAATTGCGATATCTAAAATAACAATTCTGTTTCTCAATTTTCTATTTATTGACCAAAAACCTGGGTAGCTGTTAGTGTCAATGTCTGCAGGTCGAGACATACTCACTCCAAAACCTCGAATCTCGGAATAAATATTTTTACCAACAATTCGCTGACTGTAACTTGTTACTAAACCATCACTTGAACCTCTGTATAAGTAAACAACCCCAGTTTTGGCCTCCTCGTAGGGGGCAGCCACTGCCACATCTAAGAAAAAAAGTGTAGATTTTTTCTTTTTTGTTTTTTCTCGTGTTACCTCCAAACCCATCGTGGTCCACGTCTCCCAAAAACTGCACAGTGCTCCCAAATTGCCCATTAGTACTCCTCCCGAGGATGGACTCCCGTTTGGGGACTCGCAAAGAACCCTTCACACACAATTATTTTTTTTTAATTCCCAGGGAAAAAACTATTCACCAGAGTAATTTTCTGCTCACATTTATTTTTATTACTTCTAAACAAAGCAAAAAACCCAAAGTGGTAAGTTTAATGCCATAATAATAATAATAATAATAATAACTAATATTATACAGTATGTCCCCGAATTTTTTTATTTTACTCTAACACTGCAAAAGAAAAACATTTTTTGCTTCACCTGAAACCAGTACGTCTGTAATTTTAAAAGTTCATTATTTTCACTCAGTGGAAAGAAAATTAAATTTTTCTCTTGATTTTGAGCTTGTAATAACTAATAACACTATAGTCTACAAACAATACGACCTTTAATCGAATTATTATTTTTATGTTAACTTACCTTTAATTAAACAAAAATAATTGTTAAATTTTTCTATCACGTCACACTTTTTTTGTTACAGACGATAATTATCCTGCTTTCTGCACAAATGTCTCCGATTTAAAATTTATTTAAATTTAAATTGTTGCTGAATTATTGCAAAATTATTACTATATGGGTCTAAATAGGTCTTAAAAACATTTCACTCGCATTTGGACATTTTTTCTACAATTTAGGATGAATGACAAGACGAGCGTTTTCATCAAGATCTGAAGGGTTTTCAAAGATCGACACGAAGGTTTTTAGGATGAAAATATGTTAGTAGATTACTGTTGGATTGTTATAAAGAAAACTGATCCAAAAAGTTTAATAAAACCAAGTAAAATAACTCACTTTTAAAATGTTTTTTGGCAGTTTTTGTATTTTCGTTAATTACATATTTCTTAAAGGTAACGTGGTGGACTTTTTTAAATAGTTTTTTTTAACTCAGTGCCACAAAATCTATAAGAAATGTAAAGTATAAAAATCGTGTAAAATAGTGTATTTTTTTCTCTGCATTTTAAATCCCACATTTTTTTGACAACGATGTCGTTTTACCAGATGGGTTAACGCAAGTTAAATAACAAAAATGTTTGTAAAAAACATAATTTTAATAAATGGCAAGTCAAAAAAACAGCTTCTAAAAAACAGTCATTTTTAACAAAAACAATCATTAAATTAATTAACTAATTGTCAAAGTGACATCGTTGTCAAAAAAATAAAATCGCCAATGTGATGGGACTTGAAAAACAAAGAAAGTCCAAAAGTAAGAAAAAAATTAACTTTTCTTTCCACCGAGTCAAAATAATGAAGTTTTGATTACAGATTTGCTCGTTTCAGATAAAGCAAAAACAACCCTTGCTGTTATCCACTCAAAATAGTTTTTAGAGAAATAGTTTAACATCTGCTATAGAATAAAAAGTATTTCCTTTTCTTTTTTGGCGTAAAATCAAAGGTAAAAATTTGTTTCCTTTTGACTGGCTATTCTAAAATGTATTATTAAGTTCAGAATTTTGATTATCAAGAAATAACTTGATAGAAATTGGCAAAATTCACAGTTTATTAAAAAATTCTGAGACTTAAAACTACACCTTTTTCAAGTGTAATTTAGAAAGCGTAAGATATATTTCAGAAAACTTTAATTGTAATTTAGATTAGTCAATTGTATTTCAGAAAGTATTAATTGTAATTCAAAACCGTAAACTGAATTTCAGAAACCATCAGATGTGATTCAGATTAATTAATTTAACTTCAGAAAGCGTAAATTAAAATTCAGATTAGTTAATTGTATTTCAGAAAGTGTTAGTTTCAGAGTTTGTCGTTTGTAATTGAGAATTCGTCAATTGTACCTAATTCAGAATTCGTTATTTTCATTTAAAAATTACATTACCAAAATTCCTTTGTAAATAAAATATCTTATTTATTTTGCAAAATCGCAAGTTTGTGTAATTTTTTAATTCTAAAATAAAATAACTCGTGTTTATGTGTAAACTTCATTTTGAGATAATAGTAAGCTATTCATCTGAATTACAATTGATATTTTCTGGATTACATGTAACATGAAATTGAATTTATTTACTGTTCTGAATTACATGTAATGGTTTCTTAATTACAATAATTACTTTATGAAATACAATTAACTAATCTGAATTCCAATTTATGCTTTCTGAAATTAAATTGACTAATCTGAATTGCATACAGGCTGTCCCAATGGTCCGAAAAAGCTCTATAACTTGTTTATTTTAAGAGATATTGACTTTTTCTTTTTTTTAGATTATAGCTAGCTGTTTGATGTACACTTTAAAAATATTGCGGTTTATATACAGGGCTGTTCCAATATTAAAAAAACACTAAAGTTATGTTTTTTTAAATGGAATCTACTTAGTTTGATTTTATTTTTGGATTCTACGCTAAATTACAAATAACTTTTATAGAGGTTGTTTTCATTTATCTGTTATCAATTTTGATTTGTGGCGCTTTTTCACCAGAATTTTTTAAATGCAGGGGTCTGTCTAAAAATTCGTAACTTCTAAATGCTTGCACACAAGTTAAAGTAAGTAACGCCGTTTGATTCCTGAAGGTTTGCCGCATCTTTTAAGTGTTTATTCAACAACCTGCTCAGTGGCATGCGCCT